ACCAGTTGAGATACGGAGAATTGATTCCCGAATTAAATCGTGCTCGCTTGTAATGTTGTTCTTTGTTCAAGTTAATTTTGGGAAATAATTGTTTGGTACTGCATTGTCTGAGAGCGACTTGCCAACCAGCTCGATATTTTGCAGGTTACTTGGTTTTTCACTTAACGGCGCAATGCCATCTGCGTGCAGACAACTTTCCGCCTGGTGAAACATCAGCGCCTGAATCACTACACGAGAAATGAGCCATTTCCAAAGCCCGATCTGCCACAAGGTTGATTAGGGACAGCCCCGAAAGACAACGATTCCCGTGATGAAGTCAATCGTAAAAGAGCCGTATGCCGTATGCTTCGCCTGTTCGTGCACAGAGATCGCCATTAATAAATGATTTTTTTTGGCTCAGTTTAAGAAACCACAGCGTTGGAGTTCGTCGCGTTCCGTTGTGTCCAAGGCTACATTTAGAATAAGGAGTAGACTTTGCGGGTCTTCAGAAAAAAAAATGTTTGGAAAATGAAAATCTAGTCGATGCATTCTCGGTCAGGCCTAAAGTTAGTCAGATTTTCATGTGTACTCGGTTCGCTTCCAACAGACTGTCACTGAGGTGTTCGGACAGCGAGAAGCTTAGAGGCGATATTAGTCATGCTAATTCCTCTTTGGTTTTCACGAGAGGTTCTGTTCATTTTCTTGTAGATCAAAACAATTTTCGGGTCACATGATTCGCTTATAATTTGTTCACTTTCCCATAACAAACTCCAGGGTCTTATCAAATCCAAAAAGGTTGAACCTCCATCCTTGAAAACCCATTGACATAAGATTTTTGGTCTAACGGCTTGAAAGCTTTTTGGGTAACTTCTTTACAGAATCAATTGGTGAGCGTTACCTCCTTCGGGGACATTGTTGCTGGTGTCGTGACCCAGCACGACAACTGAAGCATGGTATTTCTTCAGAAAAATGTAAAACGATACACGAAGTAAAACAGTTTTCGTTGAGTGATCCGGACCGATCCATTAAAGGTGTCATCACTGGCATGCTTTAGGTTTGAGGTTCGAACCTTGCCATCGTCACTCAGTTTTCGGGATAACGAGTTTTACTGTTTTCTGGTTCAGTGCTGCAACTTGATGTCTTGTGATGGAATCCGTCTTAGTCTCTGTGTCCGGTTTTCTCTTCTGTTCTTTGGTCTAACACACATATTGAGCCGAAAGGTTATGATAACTACCGGTTACAAGGACACTAAACATGTGCTTCAATCGTTTCTGTTTTTATCTGCCACACTACCCCATACCCATCAGTTCTATGCGGTCGCACTCCACAAAACGAGAGAGAGTTTTTTCCCCTCTCATGTAACGACTACTTTATTGGTTAAGATCTGATGTAGTGAACAACTCCTCAGTTCCAGGAATTATATGTTTGGGTTTCCTGTAACAAGTGGTCTGCTGTGTTGTATTTCACTGTATTCCTCATGTCGTTATCATCGTCGCTGTCGTCTGGACACGAATAATTTCCTCTGTACCCCGGTTTTTTCTTCACTCTTCATCTTCGTACAGATGTTCGGTTAATCCGCCCACAATTCACACCACGAGACGTCGATCAAAACCTGGCCAGGCTAAACACGAACAGAAAATGCAGCTGGACGAGGAGGATTCCGACAGCCTCGAGGTCAGCACAGATCCTAAAGGTCAAAGGACTTGGAAGAATGGTGTGTCAAAAAAAGACGATCTGGTGACATTCAAAATGTATCTTGATTTCACCCGTGCTATCACAGCCCTCCTTGCGCATCAGGTAAGCTACCAAACCAACAGGTTTTCCAGTGTTTGTACTGTACGCATCTAGAACAGGTTTTCTCTTCCGAATTGACAGGTATTTTGAACAGCCCACCTGTTTGGGGATTTTCCTCTCCTATTCCTACCGTAAACCAGACATCCCATATACCGAATGCATTTCTTTATACGTGATAATCAGTGAAATATGAGCGTTGCACGATACATATTATCTGAAAAATAAGTCCCTAACAGTATCGCAGTTTCCGCGTGATGCGAGAATACTTTTCGTCACCGATTTTGATGTAAAAACCTTGATTACAGCTTTCTCTAATCATATATTGTCCCTTGTGGTTCTATTCTATTCCCCCCTGTTCCACTTTCCACCACAGATATTGGCCATCAATCGGGCTGAGGAACGAGGCGTCATCTCGGTGAAAATGACCATTCACCCGATAGCCGAGAAGCAAACAAGACAGTTTATGCTGGAGAAGTATTTTGGCGGGGTGAACCGTGCACACTGGGATTTCGTTCACGGCTGTTTTTCAGATAGTTGGAAGCGTCTTATCGAACCGCATCTGGTACGCACGCTGAGGTAAACGATTGAGTTTCTCGATCTACTTTTACAGTGCATATCTTTTTCTTCTTTCTTTTCTTGAATTTGACTTGGTGTTGGTAGTTTCGTATACAACTGCACCCTCCTCCCACGCACATATTGTATTTGTGAATTATCTCTTCGTCTTTCGTCCGGGGCCGATGTGAAAGAGCCAAGGGAACAAGTACTTCAGCCCCCACCGCGAGGAGCAAGTGTACGTTGACACTGGTAGAGGAGGGAACCCAAAAGGAGAGCTGTGTTTTCTACCGGGCGCGTCCCCAGATCGTAGATAGGGGTCAGTCACCAATATAGTGATATAGACTCATTAAATAAGCGGTCGCAAACTATCCGCTTCGGTGGTTGGGGACGCGATGAGGTTTTGCTCCCCTACAAAATGCCGCCGAATTCTATAGGTTACTCTGCGACGTGGCGATCGCGACCCGTCACTAGTTCTGTTGTGCTCCATCTCCATCTTCATACTGATGCTGCTTCAAGCATTCCAATATTTGCTCCACTCCTACCAAATGGATATCCAAAAGACACCCGATGAGGCCGCCTCATGAAAGGAGACTTTTAATTGATGTCTAAATTAAAACCGAGACAAGCATGGTCTTCTTGCAGATTTTCATACGAGCGATCCCTAGTACATCGAACTAAATTTCCATGCACATATTTCAGCGGTCAATAACGGAGAAAAGCTGACCGATCCGAGCGGTTGTACCATTGAATTTTTAGACGGTAAGTGACCATTCAGAAAACTACCGCGAAAAGTGGTCAAATAAATCAGTTGCTCATGAGGAACCTGTACATACCCCGTGGGTCCATACATTTTTGATGTGTGCAACGCTGCTGACTGTTGCAGTTCCTAGTGCCGTGGTTCGATAGAACTAAAGCGGGAGGGGCCTGCGAATGTTCGGACAAGTGGTTTAGGTAGAGAAGCTTCAAACGGTTGACTGTAAATTCCAAAAAGGGTTTTGATGAATATTATTATAATTTTTTGTAATTTTAAGCCTCTTGGGGTCTCCAGTTTGGCTATAAATCTGGAATCTAAACAAAAGAAGTAATTTCAAATACCTGGAATGTACAACAAATGACATCAAATAAATCACATGAGTCTCATTTTAACGCAGCTGATGAATTCATCGCTCTGGTTTCTTTATCCAAATCTAATGTCTTCGTATCCAGACAGTAAACGTCTTTTACCCGAAACTCATTACTACACTTACTAGACTATGTTTTGTGCTCCAGTGCATTGGTCGGTACCGAGGTGCACTCTCTATTTCATTTCTTTATGCTGAGGTTCTTCATCTGTTCGATCGGTGATAAATTGTGCGTTTCTTTCGATTCTCGATTTGTCAGGTCAAAACTGACCACCAAGGCTCAAGATACATCACTCGAAGTATTTACGGATAATTTTCGTCGCCTTCTGATGACTGCCCCTCTTCGGGCCACCACCACCAGTCCACAGTTGCAAACGGAACCCGATGTTATATCTTCAACTGCTGGCGCTCCGGGTGATCGACTTCCCGTCGTGGGTCTTGATCCGGGCTGGGCACACGGTTGCAAGTGGGCTGCATGCGATCCACATGGGGCAGTACTGTCTACTGGAATTCTCTGGCCTCCCATTCGTTCTAATCAGCCACTGGAACGTCGAGGTCTGATTCACCAGTCCCGAAACTCCGGGCAGGGTGATGGTTTAGCCCATTTAACAACGGTCATGCGGACGCACAAGTAAGTCATCGTGATGCTTGTCCATGAGTAACTTTTAGCTCCTAAAAAGGCTGGTAGAGAAGTATCTCTTCAAAATTTTTGTTCCAGTTTTTTTTAACGTTCTCAACCTTGGCTAACCCATCTGTCCCGCAAATGACATGCATCAGCCTATAGATCTGTGGTTTGCTTCAATTTAACGCTACTTATGAGTAGTCAGCGCATAATACCAAATAGAACATCGTGGTATACGGAAATCAGCTCATGTTCGCAGTTTGGGTGCACAATCTTGTCGATGCCTTGGTACACCTATGGCGAAATTTTCAATGGCCCGAGGTATGTGTGATGTTTAACACAAAGCTGAACGCCGTTTGACGACAATGGCTTCATGAAACGAGGTCCTACTATTCTAAATTAGTTTTCTTGGTAATGAGAGCAGCTTCTGTCTCTGCTTCGACTATCGCCAGACAAGTTTGGCTGTAGTGTCCATTCACAAATGATTGAATCAAGGGTAATGTAATCTTATTACCGCGCTTCTGGATAAATGGTTTTCAAAGGGTAAGTAGAGTTTTATGTTACCAGTTGGGTCCCTGGACTGTGAATGGGAAGGCATACCTTCCTGAACGGAGGTTAACTGTGACTTGTCACGGCAGGTAAGCCGTATCCAGGAGAGAACAACAGCACTAATAGAGTGTCATGGATCTCTGACTGGCTGTCTTGCTACTTACTGTCCAAAGCCATATACTACCGCATTGACCATGCCATAATATGGGTTGATGTCATTGACCCCTGTTAGTTCCGAATCCAGAGCTCACTAGGTGTTCGCAATCACATGGGATCTCAACTTAAGTCAAGATAAGCTTTATGCAACTGAACGGCGAATTTCCAGTATTCAAAACATTCCAAAGTGAGGAGAACTGAAAAATCAAAAACCTCTTTAGTGCAAAGGTCTATCTTTATAGCTGGCACTAAGTTGCGCTTCGTTTGTACTATCCTTTTGCAATTATTCTGTCTAGGAGATCTAATACATGTACTATTTCAGACGAAGTGCTTAAAAAGATTTATGGAACTCTTCAATTTCGCCATATAATTAGTTTTATTTTGGAACCCGATGCCTTCTGTAATCATCTCTTGATTGATCCAATGAAAGGGAGGAAGAATTTAAAGCTTGTATCATCATCCTTGATGAACGTGAGATTGATTTCTGTGTGTGTATATGTGACAACGCAATTACTATCAAGCGTACTCGTCCTTCTGCAAATTCACAAAAGATGTGAAACTTTATTTGACCTTTGAATATTGCTGATCGAGATGCGGAGTTGACAGACCCTAAGAAAACTTCTTTTGAATGGTTTGCTGAAGAGGTACACAACAGAACCACATGAGTCTAGTTGCATGAAAAGAAAACGTCATTATTTTAAAATGGGCCGTGACTGTCGGAGAACTTTGCCCTTGGGTACAAGAAAACCATAAAGCAATTTCTAACGGGTTTTATGTTTCATCCAAACAGTCCCTTTTGTTTGATTCTTTAAAACAAATGGCGCTGGAATTCGTCCTAAGATAAGGAGAATCTGAACTCTGTTTCCGTCCACAACGATGTTATGTATATACACTGATCGTCTTTCATAAAGAAAATTCATTCGCGTACCACGATCCTAATAGCCCACCACATGCCTATCATTGACACCTGGCACTATCCGTGAAAGTGAACCTGCCATCCTCATGTCTTATGAACGCGAATAATGCATTTACAATAGCTGTCACCGCAGATGATTTTGGCGATTTCAGACGCCTGAGCGCCTAAAACAACACAGCACCCACGGAGTTACGGAATATTCACTGACTCTACCAAAGGATTCGAATGACCTTCCATGAAGCACCTGGACGAGTGACAATGTTCACACATGCGTATTCGGGTACAAACTTGATACGTACTCCAAAACGTGGGTCAATTAATTGTCTTTAGTACATGATCTGGCTACCGTATTCGCTCGAAAGGGATGCTCGCTCTTGGTTCGTTGCAATGATAAATTCAGTCTGGTTTGGGGTGATGTGTTCGCTCGGACGGGGTTGACCACTGTTCGGGCACAAGTCCTAGAGGAGCTGTCTGTGACAACAACTATACACAATGATGAAAAGCATCATCCGCATTATGAAATCAGTTTTCCACATTGCTACAGGAGACGAAATCTCCTTTGAAGCATTTCATTCCTTCAGCTTGTATACAAACTATCATCGTCATCATCATCACTGTACAGCAAAATACCTCGAAGCGAACTTCACCGACCTCTGTCCAACAAACATGAGTGTGTTAAATGCGAATTAGGGAACTGGGTCAAGCCTACCGCTTCGGATGATCGATGTTTCTGAACCACAATGTTATTTGCATCGGGTCGTGAAGAACTATGCAATTTAAATATCTGCATCCAACAGTGCAAATATCATGTACAAATAGTTTAGTCTAAATGATGCTCTCTCTCAGTTTGAAGTCCGTGGTACTATTCTCCCCAAAATGTGTGCTGTGCCTAAAGTCATCTGTCACAGAGTTGGCACAAAGAGGGCAATCCGATAGCAATCGTTTCTCATAATGCTCACTGGTGATAGCTTTTTGTCATTGATCTTAAAGGCCAGAATTTTTCTTTGATCACTCTGGGTCAGTCCACGAGAAACACTCCGCGCTCAGATCTTCGCTACATTGTGTCACACTAGAAATACACTACACTATTACAGTTCACAAATAAGTATGCTCGCAACTCCCAAAGTACAAGAGAATGCGACCAGGTGACCATTGTCGTGTAAATCGATGAAGGAGAACTTACGAATTACATGAAGGGTCAGTCTAAATATCGGATAAATGCACTGGCATTGCAAGCTGATCAGGATCCTGTTACGATGTGGGAAGCTATTAGGTCGATTGGGGATTGTGAGCTGCTTTGGGTCGACGGAACCGTCAGTGGCTGGAAGTAACTGCTGATGGTAGACGAGCTATCGCAGCCGCTGCTAGAGTAGAAACCAATATATCTCATCTAGGCTCAGACTTCCGTTTACCGCTCCACACAAAACCATCATCATCATCGTCCAGCGAAACACAGTGAGACGAACTTCACTGGTCGCTGCCAAACTCGCCATGCACACAAGGTTAGTGGTAAAATTTATGGTGGACAGGG